CCGTTGTAGATTCTGTTGATGCAGAGTCAGTTGTAGATTCTGTTGATCGAGAGTCAGTTGTACATTCTGTTGATCGAGAGTCCGTTGTTGGTGATTCCGTTCTGGGAGAGTCCGTTCCGGGGGATTTCGTTGTTGGAGAATCCGTTATTATTAAATCACTTGATGCGGGATCGATCAAAATTTTCTTTGAAGCTGTTTCAATTCGTTTTTTTGTTGAAGGTTTTGAATCATCTGATATCAGTTGACACAAGATTGGATTCACCCCAAGAAACTCTTTGATAGCATTGCACTTTAAATTCACGAGACCAGAAAATATAATACTGTTTGTCTGAAATTTTGTTTGAAATTAATTTAATTGAAAAAAATATGTCAAAACTTTTACATACTTGATGGGAAAAGACGGCTAATACAAGAATAATGCAAATCGCATTTGCCATTTTTTCAATTGCCAATTTCCGAACGAGCAACAAATAGTTAAAGTGTAAGTGATTTTAACACTGCAACAAAATCTGAGAAAAACACCGTATTTATAACACCAAACATCGAAATAGTGATAAGAAACTCTATAATTTTTACCATATTTTATGACGTCTTTGAAAGCGCAATCGCATTAAAATGAATTATTACTTAGCCTTGTAAATAAATATAATGAAATTGAAAAAATATATATTTTTTTTCAAGTAATATAATTTTTGTAGGGAATTGGCTTGAATATTACGAGACATACGAATGGAGGGGTTTTCTTTGTAGTTTGCAAAGCTTCCTCCCAAAATGAACTTGAGTTATTCATTTTTTGTGAGGTCAATTTTAGAATAAATTAAATACTACTGTAAAACCTTCATGGGGTCAATCACGAAATTCTAGTGCATCTAGTTTTTGATAAGATTTCACTAGAAAACTAGAAAATTCTAGTGCGTGAAGTTGGCTCTCAGTAGTTTTTCATATGAATTATATGGCCTTTGGTGTGAAGTTGGCTTCGTTTGTGACGTCATTCTTCGCACTAGATTTACTAGTTTTTCTAGTATTCACTAGCGTGATTCGCCCCATGAAAACCTTAGGATCCTCAATATGGAAATTGAAGTTTTTCTCTGTTATACACAAAAAGCGGCACATATCGAGAATATGTGTAATGAAAAAGTGCGACAGTTTTATTAATATTTGTTCGTATTTTGTTTTCAGTTTTTAAACATCAATTAATTTTAAATGCTTGAATGCAACGTAATAACTGTCAATCATAGCTTCGCAAGCTTTTTGTGTTTTGTTCTATGTTAATATCTCCATCTGTTGATAAAATTGCCATTGTTTTCTTATCTATTTCGTAATAATCGACAGAATGAACAGACTGCTATGTATGAAATGAAAATAGAGTGGCGTTTTTTTACATTCATCTAGAAAACGACTTATATCAAATGTGACGCATTATTTCGACTTATTTTATAAATTTGCATTTTGAAATTTTGTGGCTTTTACCAACTCCCAAAAATCCAAACTGAAAAATCGATGGAAAAAATGTATTTAATTGCCAATCGCATTTTATATTTGTTTACATTGTTGCTTTTTGAATGCAAACCATTATATGTAAAATCCGATTCATACACTTTTCGTCGTTGTTTCTATTTTCATCTAATCATTTGTTTTTATTGTCATTCATAACAGGTTACCCAACAGTCAGTGGATAATACAGCTGAAAATATCGATCACATCTTGGACAATATGTTTGTGTAGAGACCGCACGCATATCAGTCTGGTTTAGCTGGTAATTAAAATGCCCAAACCGTGCGGAGTTGTATTAGTTTTTTCATAATTGAAAATAGTTTTTGTTTGTTTTATTTTATTTTGCAGCTAGCAACAATACTCTGGAAGTGGGATCTGGGAGGCGCTGCTGCCCCCAACCAGTCCCCTTTCCCCGCTTTAGTCACATTTATTTCCCAATTGACTGATCTTACGTATCATCTTGGGAACGGTCTCCACCATTCTATCCGCGATATTAG